TTTTTATTTTGTATATAGATTGAAAAATAATAGTAAATCGCGTAGACATTTGTGGAATTTCATAAAGCAAAATTGGGATTTGGTAAATTTTATTATTAATTATTGATTATTATTATTATTATTTATTATATTTTTGAAAATTGTCTTTAAAATATTTTTTTTAACTTATTTTAATTAATATAGATTCAACAACGATATATCCATTCTTTACAACTTTTTGGATTAATCATTAAATCTGTGGACGCATTTTCAACTCTTGATGACATTCGAGACATTGAAGAATTCTTTAAGGATAAGAATATAAAAGAAATTGAGAGACCATTGCAACAAAGTTTGGAAAACATTCGTGTTCGTGCCGCATGGTTATCGCGTGATAAAAAGGATGTGGAAGATTGGTTAAGAAACAACGGATTTTAATTAAATTAAATTAATTTAATTATTATTAAAATTCTTTTTCAAATTTTTTTATTTTTATTTAGTACTTTTGCTTTTTTTTTTAAAAAAAAAAAAAAACTTTTTTTACATTTTGAAGCGTAATGAACGCTACTATTTCAATAAAAGAAATATTCTCTGTTAACTTGGCAATGATGTTGACAGGCACGTTTCAATAGCTCTTTAGAATATTTGAACCATAGAACCTAATTGTTGAATATTCTTATTATAAATCACTATTATTATTATAACTTCACCACTTTATACAGAGGATCTTAAGTTGAAACCTAATATGTAATTTGGATGAATACACGTATCTGTGATTTTTTTGGTCCCAACCATCGTGTCGTCTGTGATATATTTATATTCTTGTCTGGAATTTACAAATTACATTCGAAAAAAAAATTGCACTAAATTCGATTCTTGGAATATATTATTATTCTATTATTATTATTATTTTTTTTTTTATATCCCAATCCACCTTAAACTTCCTCTCTTCGTTCGATCTTTATTTCTTTCAAGAATTTTTGCACGATTCCTTTCAATGATTTTAACCACTTGACCTAGCATTTTGATTATTCGATCAATTTCCGTACATTCCATCCTAATCTTCCAAGGGTAAACTTCAATTGGTTCATTCTTCGCAACCAAGGTTATTTTCAATAAAGAATTATTTTCTATTGATACCTTAGGTAAATAATTGGCGAATTTTTGATTTTCAAGTAAAACCTTATTAAGAGTGAAAATAATGTAATGAGGTATTATGGAGTGAAAGAGTTTACACGTGTTAGAAAGGTTATAATGTAAATCGCGAAGTGGTATATGAGTAAAAATGACAGGATAAAGTTCTATAGGAAGTGTAGTTAAAGTGTTCATTATTTCGTTAAAATATGTCACTCGTAAAATAAAATAAATATAGTTGGCTTACTAATCTAATCTGCATGGATCTTCATAGATCCTCATAGATGATTAAAATTTACTATAAAAGTAACTTGACTTGATCTGGTTAAAAAAAAAAAAAAAAGATCTATTCGAAAATCTAAAAAAAAAAAATTATGTATCGATTCGCTTCTCCAACAAAAAATGCAAGTTTTTTTTAAAAAAAAATATAACCATTTATATATTTTCCCATTTATATATCTTTCCATTTATATATTTTCCCTTTTAAATGTTTAAAAAAATATTATTTTTTTTTCTTTACATTTTACATATATTAGTTGATTCGAAGATACGCTACCACTGCTTTTAATAATAGTCTTAACGTGAGTGTCTATAAAAAAAAATAATATTCTTGAAAGTTACAAAAAAAAAATAATATATAATTTTACTTAATAGAATAGAATAATTTTTATAATATCTAGCAAGTATATATTGTATCTGCAGTGAGAACACCAATTGGTTGTTTTAATGGAGCATTAAAGAAGTTAACTGCGGCAGAACTTGGTGCTATAGCCGCGAAAGGTGCAATTGAAAAAGCTGGTATGAATTAAAATATCTTAATTTTTATATATCTTAAAAAAAATTTGATAATTTCTAAACATTTACATTTACCATATATACTCTTTTTTTTTTTTTTTTTCTTTTGTAAGGTCTAAAGCCAGAACAAATTGAGGAAGTTTATTTTGGTAATGTATTACAAGCGAACCAAGGTCAATCTCCCGCACGTCAGGTCGTCATTAAAGCAGGTATTTAATTTTAATATATTCAATATCCATCTAAATTTTGATTCTCTATTTCAATTTTACTCACACAACGCACACAACACACACACTCTCTCTTCTGTTATATATAATTTAGGTTGTCCAACTACGACTGAAGCAACAACAATCAATAAAGTTTGTGCATCTGGTATGAAAGCTACCATATTGGCTGCTCAAAATTTAGCAATCGGAGATAGATCAATTATGATTGCTGGTGGTATGGAAAGCATGTCTAATGTTCCGTATGTATCTTTTGTTGATCTTTTTGGATCCTTTGTCTTCAAGCTGATAAAAAAAAACAAGTTGTCAATTAATAAAATCCAAAATTTCTGATTATTTTTGATTATTTTGATTATTTCTTATTAGATTTTATGTACCAAGAAATGTGACCTATGGAAATCAAGAATTATCTGATGGTATAATTAAAGATGGATTAATGGATGTTTATGATCAGATACAGTAAGTATTTATAATAATTTTGTGATTTTTTTTTTTACGAGTTATAAAGTATGGCAACTAAAATTTTTTCTATATTAGTATGGTAATTATAACCAATAGTTGTGATATTACTATTAGTTACTATTACTACTACTATTATTGCCATTACAAATCTTTAAAAAATGTGGTTTTTCGGTTTTTTTTTTTTTTTTTCTGTATATTTTATGTATAGGGTAATTGTGCAGAGAATACAGCTAAAAAATTTGGGATTTCTCGTGAAGCTCAAGATCAACACGCGATTGAATCATATAAACGCGCAGCTGAAGCTTGGAAGGTAAAATATTTTATATAAATTATTCTAATAAACAATTTCTACTACTACCAACAACAATAATAATAATCATAATTGATAATTAATAATTAATAATTAATAAATAGAATGGTGTTTTCAAAGAAGAAATAGTACCTGTAATTATAAATGACCGTAAGAAGCAAGTAGTAATTGATGAAGATGAAGAATATAAAAATGTAAAATTCGAAAAAATTCCCGAATTGAGACCAGTTTTTCAAAAAGATGGTAAATATATTATGTATAACTATTCAAAATTCTTTGATAATTATAATGAGAAAATATTTACTATAACAAAAAAAAAAAAAAAAAGAGTATATATGGTAAATGTAAATGTTTAGA